TTAGATAGAAAACTTTAAACCAATCTGTCTGGATGATCTGGTTCAAATGTCTCTGTAAAGTGACTTAAGATGACAGGTGAATCCATTCATGCTGAGTCTGGTTCTGGTCCTGATGGAGAATTCTTCCTGTTAAAGGGCACCTTTTCCCCTCCACTGTTACTACATGCATGCTCAGTGTTAGGGATTGCTCCAAAGTCAACAACACTGTGCTAGTGACCGTTAGTGATTGTCTCCTGTTGCCATCTGTTCATCCAGTGAGCGAATCCAGAAGAGTCAACGACTTGATGCAATCAGCTGGTTTATCTTAAACAGAAAAACCTAATCTGACTGGAGTTAAAAGGATTGGTTCTGTAAAGTGCCTGAAGATGGCGCTCTTGAAGACTTTATGTTCTGAATATATCCATTATTCCTCTGTCAGCGACCATCTCTAAAGCTGATCATTTCTCTTTCTCACATTAAACCTTCTTCATCTCCCTTAAAGGCAACCATATTTCTATTTGGGGACATTTCCAGCTCGTAGATAAAAATAAATACATATCATGAAAATTAAAATAGGAAACAAGGACAGTGATGCTTTCATCCATTTTTACATATATATTAATATTTAAACAACAAAAAAACAAGTGGAAAATCCAGGAATGTGCCTTTCCTGTTTCCTTAGATTGATTGAATCAATCAATCGATAGTGTCTATTAGTGCATCTGGTAATTCTGTCTTCTTCCTCTTCTTCCCTCGCCATCTTTTCTTTGTAGCTGTAAGACTTCTGCCTGCTCTCTGTTTTACTCTTCTAAGTAGATTTTTCTTCCTTCTCTTCAACTGATCTTTTCTCATCAGTGTTCCTATTTTCCTCCGCTCTCATTCAGTCTTCTGATCTTCTTCCTCTCCTCTTCTATCCATCTAACACTGATCTGAAACAGGGACATACTAAAATCAAAATCCCTTCCAAATACATAAAATCTCATCACACATATAATGATTATTACGAGGATGGTGATTATTATTATTATTATTGTTATCTAACCTGATTAAATACTAAAAAGCCTCATCACCATAATATTTGGAGCTAGAACTAAAAACAAACTAAAAAAGGAAGATTAAACAGGTCTTCTTCAATCATTCTCAGATCATGCAGATCTTGTCTCATTCAGTTTTCCTTTTACACAACAAAGACTTTTTTTTTTAACCTGGGCATGAACCAAACATTTATCACAATGATCAGCCCAATTCAGATTAAATGAACCGATTAACACCCTCACCATCACACCAGGCAGCTGAGATCGCTTCTGATAACCAACTGCTTCACCTGTTTAAAAGTTCTGCTCCTCATCTACACGCTGCCAATCAGCGACAGCTGTCTTTCTACCGTCATAACAGTCTCTCCTCATTCATAAGATGGTAAAATCTGGGACATTTCCGGGGACAGGCTTAGCCGGGGACAGGTAGTCCCTGGAAATCGGGGACGTTTGGTCCCCATAATCTTCCTACATCTATGAAACTTCTCTGTGTTTTTTTTTTTTTTTTGCTTGTCATGCTAACTTCTGATTTCCATCCTTTCTGTTGTTCTTTTTATCATCTATCCCTCAACTCTAATGGATTGATACAACAGACTCCAAACTAAGTGCCAGTTTTCTGCTTTAAAAATTTGTTAAATGATTTATTTGTAGTTAAAACATTATTTAGCATGTTGACCTGGTCATAGCCTTAGCATAAAGCACACACTGTGCACCTATTGACTCCTAAATGTAGTAAATTACGCACCTGGTTAGGCCTAATCATGCTGCTTTTAGCTTTATAATACATCTGGTAAGGAATTAAATGTAGTTAACTGAAGTCAGTAAATAACCAAGTGACCTAACAGTGGACTGTGTGGCTGTTTCAGGTTTTAAGGAAGGTGACCCTCTCTGAAGTGGCTGAGAAGAACCACACCTACCTGGACTTGGTCAGAACTCCTCAGCTGAGGAAGATCACTCTGTGCTCTGGGCTGTCCTGGTACTGGATCTATTGTAAACATGATTACTGCCTGATGTAGGAACTTCTGGGTGATGTTATATTCACCATGTTTGCAGGTTTGCTGTTTCCTTCCTCTACTATGGGATCAGTTTCAAGATATCAGGATTTGGTGTCAGCATTTACCTCACCCAGTTCATCTATGGCGCAATTGAAGTTCCCGCCAAAGTCCTGACGTTTTTTGTCCTGGATTTCATTGGCCGTCGAAATGGCCAGGCCTGGTTTCTGATTATAACAGGAGCTCTGATTGGGATAAACACTGCCATACCTTTAGGTTCATTCTGCTCTTGTATTGCTCTTTGATGATATTCATAGTAACCATTTGGAGAAATGCCTGTGCATGAAGTAGTTCAGAGTTTGAACTCTCTCTTGCTCTCTTTCCAGAGTACTCTGTGGTTCGTACATGCATTGCTGTGGTGGCCAAAGGTTTCTCTGAGGCGGCCTTCACCACTGCCTTCCTCTACTCAGCCGAACTCTATCCTACTGTACTCAGGTAAACACCTGCTGTCCTAAAATTACACTCATCACCCTAATTTTGAGCATTTGGTTTTCTTACCTCACTATAAGTTCAAAGCCTAAAGATATATATAAAGCATTCACCTTGATGTTACATGCAAAAAAATATTTAACATGTAATGATACTGCCCTAACTTTGCCTGTTCTTTGTCTTTTGTTTTGTTTTACAGAAAAAAGTGTTAATCTTTGCGTTTCTTTTTCCACACTTCAGGATAGAAAGTTTGATTTTCTGTTTAAGAACCCAATGTAGGTGCCGTAGGATGGACTGCAGCACCCAAGCTTGAGTTTAAGTTATTCTAATTTAATTTCTTTGCTAATCCAACATCTGCTGTTGAGAAGTTGCGTTTCTTTCTATAGCGTCAATTCACATCATGTCATCTCAAGGCACTTTCCAGGTCACCAGATCATCCAGTCAGATTGATTCAAAGTTTTTTATCCAAGGAAAACCAGCTGATTGCATCGACTCATTGACTCTTCAGCAATCCCTTACACTAAGCATGCTTGTAGCGACAGTGGAGAGGAA